TGTGTGTGTGGTGGGGGGGGGGGTACATTTTGGCTTATTGAGTCTATGCCGCTATCACGCTGTGGAAGTGACAGTGTGCCATATTATGCTGTTGTGGGTGTGTGCAGAGATGAACAGTCACGGTGGCTTCACGCGGACATGAATGCACACAAACGAAAAACTGCACACACACGCCCTCACTCTCTCACACACACACACACGTCCAAACCACGGTGAAATCACAGCTGTTCTCAGTTGCTATGCGGCAGTCGCACCATCGTCTCAGATAACACACACACACGCATACGAGTGTGAGACGGGGACAGTAACACCAGACTTGGCAGGGTCGGAAGGTCACAGGGGTATTGTGACAAAGTTGCCTAGCAACAAACACGTATAATTTCCAGTGTGATCTCCTATGTGCCCCCTGACCAGATCTGAATGCAATGATGAATATGTTGACAGTCGATGATTGTTTTGCACCTGGCTCTCAGCGTTTGTGGAGAAATGTGTTGAATGCGCTGGTGCTTCATTATAGACCGCGATAAATCTTACACCATTGTTAGCACTCCACAGTGAAACCAGAGGGTACAGTTAGCAGCACGCTAGCTTGTTAATGTTCAGCTACTGGCGCTCATAGGTGTACAAAAGATAGCGTGGTAATATTTTAGGGTGGTGTGTTCTGTATTCCTGGTTAAGTGCATGTGTTAGGCGGACACTTCACACTGTGGCTGTAGGTCCCCTTTATGCACAAAAACAACATTAAAAAACAAGTTAAACACCAAAAAGCAGACTCATGCCAAGTGGGGTCACATTCTCAATTTTCAGCAAACTTCGGTTCAGCTTGGTGTACAGACTGTACAGCAAGCCCCCGTGGACAACGTTAGCAAACACAGAGTATAGTAACAGGAAGAAGACAGTGAATACAACCTACTAAAGTGTGTTTCATCAGGACTGCAGGTAGCTCAGTCCATCTGTGTACTGAATTCTTTATAGGTTATCACAGGAACAAGGCTCCTGTCCTCTCTACCTCTATCCCTTTGTGCACAGTGGTGTTTCAAATCATAAACAGTGAGCTGTGGAGGAAATGTGGGCTTCAATAAAAGCTCAATTAAGAAGGGAAAAATGCACCTCTC